TCAACCTGTATGTCCATGACATCTGGGACATACATGACAGAATTAAGGGGCTCAAACTCTCACAGTACGCAGATGACCTCTGCATTCTCGACAGAGCCACAAACCCAGACCATGCAACCATGCGATCGGAATGGGCAGCAGAAACTATTATTAACTACTATACGAGATGGGGGCTCAAATGCAACATAGAGAAAACCGAGTGCATTATGTTCTCAAAGAAAAGTAAATACCGCCCAGCGGTAAAATTAAAACAACAGGTGCTACCATACCAAAACCAGATCAAATACCTCGGCGTGGTCTTCGATAAACGCATGAGAATGAATCAACACACCGAAAAGGTAGTGAAGAAACTGAAACGGGTCAGAGGAGCCCTTGGCCCGATAATTGGATACTACGCAAAAACAGATCTAGAAACCAAACTGGCCATAATACAGGCCTGCATTCTGCCACTGCTGGACTACGGAGTGGTCCAACTGCTATCGAGGTACAGCGCGACGAACCTGAGTAAAATCGAAAGACAATACAGAATGGCACTCAAGAGTGCTGCCCAACTACCGAAAAGAATATCCACAGAGATACTATGGGAGATGGCTGACATAGAAGCCTGGCACCTACGTGCCGAGGACATAAATCAGAAGATGTTGGACAACATTGCCCAACTGGGAATAGAAGACCTAGAATCCCCCGGTGACGCCTACCTGGCGCACGGAGAATTCAATCCCCTCAGGACCAACCATAGAATAGGTGAAATTGTATATGATCCCAAAAAGAAAAATTACAAGCGATGGCCCACCGATAACACGGGAGCCCCGCGCCCTCTTAGGATAAGGTAATTAAGGCTAGCAAATAAGTACACAAAAACAAATGAAATACATAATAATTTTATTGTATAAACTTTATTATGAATAAGCAAAACACAGCAAACACAGATCCACCTAGGACATAAGTTAGCTGACTCACCCTCACACGGTTCACCGGCCGTGAGGATGCAAATGTAAATACACAAGTAGGCAAATAAATATTTTCTGATTCTGATTCTGATTCTGATTCTGAGGGGTGATTATTATGAGAGTTTTGTTACGCGGTAGAGCCATGCTGCAGTTATATTAGAAGTATAGTTGTAGCACGAATGGGTCGGCTCGACCGGGGAAGGACCACGCTCTCACAGAATACCAGCGTGAAATAGTAGCTTAATGCTGCTGTATTTCGTATGGTGAGTGTAGAGAACCGGAGACCCTTTTTGCTGGAAATGAGGCATTCCATCTTAGTCCTCACGGGTGACAACGCATCTGCATTTTGATTCGTAATCGAGGATAGATGTGGATGTCTATGGGCCATAGCAACCACTTACCATCAGGTGGACTGTGTGCTCGTTTGTCAACCTATCCTATAAAAAAAAGAGTATTGCTGCTAAGTGTAGAGCCAATTTGTAAATTGGCGAATTGATCTGACTCACTATTGGACGAAATTGAGCGTTAGGTTTTTGTATTTTTGGTAACCCATAACTTCCGTGGTCGAATTAACGTCTAATTCAATTTCTCGGATTATTTCTTAATTAGATCACTAGTTCTTTTTAGAGTACTAGTACTTTCATACGACAAAAATATGGTATTTTAAAATTGTAATTTGACATATCCATTATATCCGTAGCATTACCTTTATCTACTCTGAGAATCGTTTTTCAACGCGTTAAATTCATCTGTGGGAAGATTTAATTTTGCTAAATTTCGACGTAACTTAGACGAATTGTCTTGACGTAAGGTCTCTAAATCTTCATTACCAATATTATTTTTATACAGACAATTCTTAACACTACAGATAACGTCTTCATACGGAGTTTTTTGCAGTTTTATAGCGCAATTTATACCTTTCGGTAGTACTTTTACTCTGACGCCATCCAGACCGCGCATCACATTGCTAGCTATTGCTATAGCTATCACATTGCTGGGCTGAAGCCTCCTTACGTTTCTAAGTGGGCTATGATGCATTTAGTCCCCCATCAAGGTTCTTGACTGTTCTAGTGCGTGTTTGTGAACATTTATATTGTTTGATGATATTTACATTATAAAAAGATGTTTCGTGTGGTGTAGCCTGAAGGAATTCATATAATATCCATTTCATCTCGTAAGTGGCGACTCATGAATCACCAGAAAGTTCTATTTGCTTCCGATAGATAGCGGTATAATCACCTAGCATTTTGTTATACATAAAATACTCAGACTGGCAATCGGGGCGGTGTCAAATGAGTCTCGTCTATCGAGTATATGCCATACTTCATCATCATCGTCATTAATGATCTTTACAAGTTCCCTGATGAACATGAGCCAAGGAATCTGCATCCATTGACTTCCTTTTCATCCAAGTCAATTAACGTAAATTATCTATAATGGGCAATCTCATGTCCAGCAATAGACGAACAAAACAAACGTTTATATATTTCATCGCTCATTTTACGCTTTTCAATACCTCATAGTCAGCGACAAGTCAAGTCGATGGAGGACGCAAATTACAGGGTAATGAATTTTTCACAGGGTTTGATTAGTTTAAAAATATTTTTAATTCGCTTATAATTTAGGTTTGGAAAATAATACTTATGTTATTGAGCTACTAACTTATTAATCTATTGTTGTTTGAAATAACATAAACACTCACGCCTGTTACCCAGAGGGGTAGTCAGAGACCACAGAATTCCATTTAGCACGATCCTGACATACCTTTCTCGCCTCTTCCACATCCATATACCTACGCATACATGCTCGTCGGTTAAGGGTACTCTTAATTTGGCCCATTTTTAGTATATCGCTAATTTGGTCGACAAACTTCCGCCTAGGACGTCCCTTTCCGACTCTTCCATTCACTTCTGCAATATATATTTGCTTTGTCAGTCTTTCCGCATTCATTCTTTCTACATGACCAAACCACCGAAGCATTCCTTTCTTAATCCTGGTCACCGCATCATCTTGCAAACCATACACTTCTTTTATCACACAGTTCTCACCCTGTCACTCAGATTCAACCCTAACATACTCCTTAGCTACCGCATTTCTACTGCATTTATTCTACTCTCGTGCTTCTTCTGCCACACCCAACTTTTACTACCATAAGTTAAAGTAGGGACTAATACAGCACTGTGAATTGCCATACGTGCCTTTTTTGACACATTCTGACTTTTCGCAATAGAGTGTAGAGCCTCATTTACTTTATTTCCTGCATTCACTCATCGTTCAATATCCTTATCATATCTCCCATCCCTGCTGAATACACATCCCAAATATACGAACTCATCCATTTGCTTAATTAATAGTTTGAAATATGCTTTTAGTGTACCAATTGTGCTTTTTATTAACCGTTGTCGTTACAGCCTATTAAAACCCACTGCTGAACATACCCCCCCCCCCCCATAGATTGCCTCATAAGGGGGAATTTGGCGATATTTACCACACTTGGCAAGCCAATTGGCAACCCTAGTTTTTTTTAGTTTCAGTCAGTATTAAGATGCTGCTGCCCATTTCCTTATTTGTTTCCCTTATTCGCCTCTCACGACACCCACGGGATGATATGTGGTACTAGACATTCTTACACCGCCACTACACGATTTTTCATTAACAATGTAAGTTATTTTTTAATCACAGAAATTTGATCCCACTACCACATTGACACAACATGTAATAAATTTTGTGGGATATATATAATACAGCGTAAGACTAAAAGCCCTAAGTCCTTTTCAATTCAACTGGTCCATTTTTGGTAACTATCTTAGTTAAACCAGAAGGGAATCGGCGCATGATTACCGAAAATTATTCTACCACAACTTTTTATGCGATTCTCTTCAAATGGTCCTACTGATGATATAAACGCATGTTACCCTTGGGCAACTTGATGCCATATTGCTTAAACCGATGTTTTTTTTTAATTACAAGGAATTGTTACTTTCAAACGGGACAATTTTTTTTATATATTCTTTGATGAAATACAAATAAAAAGATACTGACTTTTTAAGATTAGGTTAATATTTTGGAGTAAAAGAATTTTAAAAGATTTTAAAAATCCCAAATTCAGATACTTTTGAGCCATTAAAACTGTATATAGTAAAATAATAATAAATAAAAGATATTTTTGTTATATTTTTTGGTAAATTACAAATAAAAACGATCCTATGACTTTTTACGATAAAGTTGATAATTTTGGAGTTTTGAATTTTTAAATGTTTAAAAAATCCCAAATTCGGATACGTTGGCAACATGTATTTATATCATCAGTAGGACAATTTGAAGAGAATACGTGGTAGAGCCATGATGCAGTTATATTAGTAGTATAGTTGTGGCACGAATGGGTTGGCTCGACCGGGGAAGGACCAAGCTCTCACAGAATACCAGCGTAAAATAGTAGCTTAATGCTGCTGTGTTTCGTATAGTGAGTGTAGAGAACCGAAGATCCTTTTTACTGGAAACGAGGCATTAGTCCTCACGGGTGACAACGCATCTGCATTTTGATTTGTAATCGAGGATTGATGTAGATATCTATGGGCCGCAGCAACCACTTACCATCAAGTGGACTGTGTGCTAGTTTGTCACCCTATCCTATAAAAAAGAGTCGCATAAAAATTGAGGTATAATAGTTTTCGGTACTTATGCGCCGATTCCTCCTGGACTAAGTAGTATTGACACTAATAAAACTAAATAACAGTAATATATTCATGATTATTAAACATTATATCACTTCTGGATTTTTATTTTTCAAAACGTAATCAAATTTTTCTAAGAAAATTGATTATAAACTGTTTTAACTACTCTGTGTATAATCCAGTAAAAACACATTGTGGCCGACATGATACGATTGTACACCGTCGTCAGGCAGACCGTTAAGTGCTACAAATCCTCTGTTCAATGCCCCACACTCCTACGATCAGTCTTTACCAGTGGCGAACTAAAAAAACTTATTAATTTATTGTGAAATGCAATTGTAATGGGAAAACAACGTTTTTTGTGAAAATGGTTACAATGGTTATATTTTTTGTAATTTTCCTATTAAATGGAGCTAAATCTATAAAACTCAGTACTAAATCGAATATAGTGAATGCAAAAAATACGTTATTAACAGGTTACACAGAAGTCGTTTCTACTTTGCAAATACATCAGATCCGGACGACATCGGAAAAGGCGCCCGCGACCTCCGCCGGAAACAATCTAAATGATGTTTCTAGCGGAGCTCTGAGTAAGCCTCTGGAAGTACAAGAAGAAAATTTCCTGACAATCTCCCCTATTTTCTTATTCAGAAAATATTCTGACGATAGAAAATATAACGATGAAGATGAAGGAAATGTCAAATTACTTGGGACGTACAATAAAAAATCTTCAGGGGAAAATAAAATGGCACTTCCTTTCTACAACAGCTCAAAAATGAGAAACGAACTCAATTCCCCGCAATCACAAAATTTTATATGGGAAAATTGCATGGAATCAGTTTTCAAACAACAAAATAAAATAAATTATAAACATCAAAATGAAATGGAAATTGCCAAAAACTTACAAACGAATAATAACAAAATAGTCGGAAATTTTTGGGATAAAAGAGATGCCGATGCTATTCACTCAGTTGCTGTAAAGTCTTGGTTGGAGAAATATAATAATTTAAAAAATTCCAGTAAGAAAGAACGAGTAGAAAAGGCAAATAATATGACTTTGCTCAGTCAATCAACAACAACTTCCACGGTATCGAATTCAACACCTTTTGATATATTTTCTATAACAAAGGAAACACTTGAAGACCGAGATTACTCCATAAATGATACTTTAGATTTAGCTGTTACAGAAAATAACTTAAGAGTCAGCAGTTCTATGGAATGGTCTGTGGAAAAGGATCGAAGTAAAATAAAATTTAGCAGCTTACCTCAGATGCAAAATTATTTAATACCGAAGTTTAAATTAGAAGAAGGATTTCATCCATTTACATTTATGTCTGAGTTCTTTTCACTTATTTACCCGTTTGACTTTCCTGATGGTAAGTTATAATTTAAAATCTTAAGTAACTACCTTTATACAAAAAATCTATAAAGTAAAAACTCTATAAGATTTCTGTGTGAATTTTAGTTAACATAGAAATTTTCATATAATATTTTAAAATTGCAATTTAGTTTATTCATACCGATATTTTTTTGCTTTTTGTGTAATTTATATATATTTTATAGTAAATACAATATATATTATATTTTATTTAAAATTAAAAGCACAAAACTCAAAACATTTATGACATTTATCATAGCTATATTATTTTTCATAGGTATTGCAAAGGATATTATCTGGGGTAAAAATACATTTCCATCCTCATTTATACAGGTAAGATATTTGAACCATTTATTTATAATAGATAATTGTAAAATTCATAAAACAATTCATAGCACAGTTTTTCATCGCGTACAAACCTCATCGTAATTTTTATGTTAGTGTTAAAGAGTATTCTGAAGGAGGACTAGAAGAATATATTAGATTATGACTATATTTAAGTTGAATTTCAATCTTGGCTTTACATATATATGCGTTAGGAATAATTATTTTTTACTAGTTATGTGTCTTATATATATACTTTATATATATATATATATATATATATATATATATATATATATATATATATATATATATATATATATAATATAGATAACAGTTATAGCTTAGAAAAGAAGATAGGGACCAGGCTAACTTCACTTATGATAAATACGCAAGAGTCTAAATTAAACGCAGTATAATTTAATACGTTTTCATATTTAAAAATTAGGAGTACCCTTAACCGACGAGCATGTATGCGTAGGTGTATGGATGTGAAGGAGGCAAGAGAGGTGTGTCAGGATCGTGCCAAATGGAAGTCTGTTGTCTCTGCCTACCCCTCTGGGTGACAGGCGTGAGTGGTTATGGATGTTTATGTATGTATGTATGTTTTCATATTTTTATAAAATAATGTCCAACAAAATAACTGTCATTCATTTAAATGTAGTTGTATTAAGTTTCATGATATTATTTTGTCCTTGTATTCGACATAATAAAATTATAATTTGCAAACAATAGATCCCCGAAGAGAAATGGTAAACAATGTTTTTCAGGTTTTATAATTCAATTTTATTATTATTTTATATAAATAAACATTTCATTATAATGTACCTTATAAAAAAATTGTAATTAAATTACTATAATAATCTTATAATTTAACCTTTTATAAAACGATAAGCTCATCTTTAGGTATTTCTCTGAAAAATACTTGAACATTTTTAAATGCTACGTTAACGATGAAATCAATAATTGGTCCCCCAAACTCATTAACAACTTCTTTCCAATTTTCATTAAGGAATGTTAAAACAGTTTGACCTGAAAGCAATATTTGTTTAAATAAGTTATGTTAAAATGTTATTTCGATCGACATATGATAAAATACTTACTGATTTCAGGACTTCCTTTAAAGAGATTTGTAAGATCAAAATGTACTTTATCTCTGATTGTGTAAGACACTTTGTAGTTCTTAACTTCATAATGAGTTACTCCGTTGCGAACCTTGTCCGCGAACTTAAGCTTTGCTTTCAAAAGAATATCCGCTAGAAAAAAGTCACTTACAATTACTTCATGAAACTTGATCGTTATATCAACATTTACACAAAAATATTTAAGCTAAATATTAATATAACTTCACTTATATTTAAGCTACACAGTATATTTAATCTAAATATTAAATTAACTTCATTTCTTCTCATTGTATTAATTTCTTATACAGTTTATCAATTTAGTTCGTTGTGTATATTTAATTTCAATTAAAAAAGGTAACCAAAAACAACAGTGGGATATTTTATTGGTACGGAGTGTGCACAAAGATTTGTTTCATAATATCTATAGTGACCAACAGCAGGCAGGTTTTCTAACCACTGAAATGGTGGCCGTCAAAGTGTTTACGCAGGTAGCATCCTACACTAGGGATTTACCTCTCTCCCAAGGCACCAATTTCATACCGTCAAATCTCTTGCCATTGTCTCTAAATATTACACAAGGCTCTAAAACAGAATGAACATTTATCATTTATCGTTCAAAGAACCATTCCGTGAAAACCTACCAACAACTTTTCTTACATGTGTGTACGTGTCACTACTCGTCGGCGCTGCTACGACAGGAGTACTTTATTAGTATAGTATTGCCGCTTCTAGTCGAATTTCTATGGCGATGCATAAGCCTTCTCATTCAAGTAATATGCTAATATTACTTGATGAAGCGTGTAACCAGTGAAGTTGAAAAAGTTTATGAAGCCACTTTGGTGGTCACTATTTCAGGAGTACCTCGTTTAGAGCTAGGCTAAGCTAGTGCTAGCGGCAGCGGAGGCAGCTGAACTGAATAAACGGCGCAAGTATAAATTTCCGAGAGATGACTACATATTTCATGCCGTGGGCCCGTGGGGCCCACATACGGTGAAGTCCAAGGAACTCTGGTGATAAGAGGGCTGGTTCTTTTATCGCTCAAAGGCTAAGGTATGGCCATTCAGCGATTAAACGCAGCCAGCGTTCTTGGCACCATCCCAAAAGAGTAGGACTGTATGTTAATTAAGTAATTAGGTATAGTTTTTTTATAATAGTATATTTTAATATTCTGTGAATTAAAATAAAATAAAAAAAATCCTATTAAAAAGTACGTCATGTTATTACCGTGTCCTGCCATTAGGCTACTCTCGAAGCGACAGTAGCCTAATGGCAGGGCGTGGATCGCGAATTCAAAAAGGTCATGGGTCCGAATCAGCCATTCCACTACTGGCGTGAACCACTCGTAACACAAGCAATTTATGCTTACCACGAGTGGTTACGAGGAATATTAGTAATGTTTATAGCATTGTTAATATTATTTTTTATAAAAAATTGCTTACTTATTTTCAGTTTTGCATCTCCATCACCATTAAGTGAGACAATAAGTATTTGTCCCTTAGCTTTGTATTTGCCTTTGATTACTATGTCACAGTGGAGTGTGATATCAGCTTCGTTATTTTCAAATCTGGAATAAATGTTTTAGCATAATTTAAAAATAAAATAATACAAGATTCATATTTACGTAAGTCTGGATCCACATTTCATATTAAAGTATGTTAATCAGGCGCATCGCAACGAGTACTAGCATTTTAAGCATTGCCGCCCATTTAGACCGTATCGTATAACACTATCAGTTAAAAGTGTCACTATCCGGTCACAAACGTGTCCATAATTAATATATATCATATCATTCGTATTGGCATATTTTTTAAATAAGTGGACACTTTTCTCTTCCTTATATCTTACCAAGTTTAAGCGTTTGAAAACCGTGTAATGGCATTTTAAACCCTTTTATTATCGCAAAAAACTTAAGATGAGACTCGGTGTATCAGGTATCATATAAAATAATTTTTAAGCCTTACTAAAAGGAAATTCCAAAATAACATTATAAATTGTTTGTACTCCTAAACATATTTAGTACTATTGTGCTCCTAGACTTACTAAATATTTATTTGGTTTTTAAATAATTGATATTTAATTGGCGAAATTTATTTTATTAAAATGAAGAAATTAATATAATTCATTTCATATCACATAGTCGTATCGTGATACTACTGTACTGTACTACCGATAACAATAAGTGTATCCAATACGAGGTGTATCAGATATGATATTTGGTGTAGGCGTATCAAAACGGCTTGGATGCCACATTATCGGTTAAATAGTTAGATACGGTTTGCCGCGACCATTAGCAATGTATAATGTAATGTCTTAAGAAATATAAATAAATAATTGTAGTTCCTCCTAATATAAATCTCTTATAATATACCTGGAAATGGTCTTTACTAAACGAATCGCATCGTATTTTTATCGATAATAGACAACTTCATATTCCCTACAACATAGGCTATTAATTTACCTTTTTTATAGGATAGGGTGAAAAACAAGCACACAGTCCACCTGATGGTAAGTGGATGCTGTGGCCCATAGACATCTACATCTATCCTCGATTACGAATCAAAATGCAGTTGCGTTGTCACAAATAGCTGCTGTAATACAGCATGTATATATTTATTCTTTTAATAAAACAATATGTTTTAAAAAATTTCTCTCGTGAACACTACGCAGACTCTAATTTTATTTTATTTTTTCCGATATATCTGACGTTAAAAAGAATCACAAAGTACAAAATCTCAAAGATTTATTGATTCTCTACTGATTCTCTTTGCGTAATTTACGACATAAGTATATCAAATTCAGCCATAACTTTTGTTGACAAACATTAAGATTAATGTTTTACTATATAAAAAATCGTAAAATATTGCCTTTGCAGCGTATTGCATTAAACAGCATTTCTGTTATTTCAGTTTTTATCATCTTTTGATTCTAAATTTTCAATAAGAAATAATTTTCTGTTTTTGATATTTTTACTGGGATTATTTTAAAATTAAGTCGGTGAACTAACTTTCATCTCCGAAATGCTGCCACTTTAAATTTGCTGTACTAGGCTATGGCTTTCTTGCTCTTCCTCCCATCTCTACAAGGCCACTGGTTAAGAGGGATTAAAAAATTTAAGAGGGAGAGACACGAATAAAATCGAATAAATTACTTAAAGTTAGTTTGAGCCTTACTTGACATCATCTACGATACATTTCTTGAGGCCAGTCATCACTCCGTCTGTAAACTGTATTGTTAAGCCGCCAGGAAGTTCCATTTCAATAAGATCATACTTCAGTGGATCGGTTGAATTGACACCGATGCTTGGAATTCCAGGGACGTATAGAGGAATCGTATCTTGGATGTTTTTCTTCAAGCAGTCTGATTTCAAGCCCACACATGGTTTGATGTAATCGGCTAGAAAGAAAACGTGCGATTGACAATGACTCGATGGCTCAATACAGCTACACATTACGAATTAAAAATAATCGTATTTTAAAGCTCAATTGTCCACCATGTTGTGAGTACAGAACCAACTACAATACTTCGTTTGTTACCAAACAATGCCTTGCCACTATTTTTCTACTTACAAATAATATTTATTATATCTAGATACGTAATCAATAAAAAGAGACCATAAAAGTTTGTGTTTTTGACTACACATTGGGGAGCACGTCAAACTCATAGAAGTGGAATGTAAATAATATGTACAAGTACATGGGTTGTTAATTTACTTTGTACCAGCAGCTATAACAATTTTACTTTACAAATGAACTTGCATATAATTTTACTGGCCATACACTTGCAGTGTTGTAGTCAGAAACAGAAAGAAACAGCTAAGAGAGTGGTACCTGAAATAGGTCCTACCACCAAGTACCTTAAAAATGGTATTGAAAAAATTCTGATTTCTATATTATAATCATTGTTTTGCACACGACCGCGTTGGTGATTCCTATATTTAAAAATATGTGCGAAACACAAATTATTGGTTTTCTTGGTGATGAGGTTGTTTTGTGAATTCCTTTATAATCTATAAAAATACTTAAAAACTACAATACCACCTGATGGTAAGTGGTGATGAAACCCTAGATAATAAATTGCACTGTATAAGCGTAATAAAAGTCTTGTAATCGGAAGAAAATATAGATGCCGGTAACTTATTATATTCCATTGCTCTTCGCATTCCGAAAGAAAAAGATAGCAGGTCATCAGCTTTCTGTAAACTGGTTATCACCGACAAAATATGACCATAAAAAACATCAATCACATCACGGTATACAGCTATGCAATGGCGTCTCTTTTGAATGTTTAAAGATATAAGTGCAAGGTCGTCGCTCCAGATATTTAACATCTGAAAATTTTTATTTAATCATCTTTTATGATGTCCACGTTAATAAATATAACTAATTATTTCACTTACGCCATCATCTCATTCATTATGTTTAATATAACAATCAAATACAAAATATAAATGGGATTTCAAAAATTCCTCCATTCACAATTATTAAAAATGAAATCAAGTCATCATTTTTATCCTATTTTAAAAACTTTTAAATTATCCTTCGATTGAGTTCCTCATATCAATAGTTAAAACCAGTTACTGCAAAATTTTCCATTTCTTGTTTTTAAAATATACTCAATCACGGGGCCTTGCATATTCTTCCTTATGTATTCTATATACAAATTAGATTATACTAGTGTTATATTATCATTTAAAATTTCCTTACTTATTTTATATGCATGCAAAGTCATAACATTTATTAAGAATTTAAAAAAAAAACGTCCTCAGTGTAATATATATATATATATATATATATATATATATATATATATATATATATATATTATAGTTTTCTACCTGTTCTGTACTTTTAAAATATTTCTGGAGTGTATTGAAAATTATCCAATCCGAAAAATTATAACATAGGGTCGTAATTTAGCTAAAATACAGATACTAGGAAGAAAAAAACATTTTGAAGTCACTTCAAATACACAAATTAAAATTCAAACGCACAGAATTGCATCAAATATTTTATAAAATAATTATTGTAGTCAAAAGTCACTTAGATAACTGAACTTTTTCTGACACACCACGCGTTATCGCCAATACAGATCTATAAAATAATATACGGAATTTAAACAGAACACGGAAACACGTAAGAAATTTTGTTTATAAGACCTTAAATTTGTGTTCTTTGCACAAATTTTACTTTGGCTAAAATTTTAACGTTCGACCAATAACTTCGTCTGGAAATTCAATCATTAGTATCGCTGACCTCTTTTTTATTAATGTGATATTTAAAATAAACATGAAAACAGAACAACAGATTAAAATTTGTAAGATTTTATTAAATTCGCAAAATTATTTAATCTTGTATGAGGAATAACAAATAAATAAAAGTACTTACGTGATATCTTAGCGAGACAAATACTGCATTGTAAAATAACAAAAGCTATTGAGAATAATTTATCCATATTTAATCCTAGTACGTAAAATTTTGAGAACTTAAGATCTATAAGCGATCAGTCCTAACAAAGACTTAAGCAAAACTGATTGCGAAATCGAAATATATGTGTTTATGACCGGTATATATTTTTAGGAAACTTAGCATAATATGTATATGTATATAGATCGAGAAACGTGTTTTTAAAAAATACAAATAGCTTAAGGAAGACTAGTTGACTAGTAGAACATGTTTTGTTACCAGGTGCTAGTCTTATCTGCTTTATCTTGTAGTCTTGATTGTTACAACCTTCTTACCTAATTCTGGAAAACAGCAGCAATGTCTTTAGTATAGGACCTAGGATAATTACAGGCTATTAATTAGTTTAATTAGTTCACGGTACTATGTTACAATGTTCATACATTATAATATATAGTCTCTAATACGTTTGCTCGGAAGCGCATCGGCTTAGCGTTTGGCTGGGACGTTGCGGGCCGCACGTTCGAATCCGGCACGGAATAAATATTTGTATATATACGATTACGAATTATTGTTCGATGCAAGAATGTTTGTTCATGTGCAATTTATGTTTGACTACAATTCCTTAGAGTGCAGTTATTGTATCCGTCAAGTGAACTGTCAGCTGTTTTCTACTTTATTAGGTTATATAAGCGCCTTTGCTCGCGGTCAATTAAAAACCCACGAATTTTTTATTAGTAAAATTATTTTATTTAGGGTTTTTTTTTTATTTATTTGGGAACGGCGTAAGAGAGTAATCCCGAGAGTGGCGTAAGAGGCGATAGAGCAAAATGAAACAGGGGATGAACTGCAGCATCTATTTTAACAATTCAAAATAATGAAAAAACTGCGGTGTGACAACTACGGCGAATATTTCCTTAGTAGACGATTTATGGAGGAGGCCTACGCTCAGTTGGACTTTTGATAGTCTGTAATGAATAAAAGATGCAGGACGCTCTAATGCAATACACTTTTGTAGAATACATTAAATTATTTGTTTCGTTCAGCTTAAACGTGCAGATTCTGGTCCTTAAAAACAATTGAGAAAGCTATGTAGAGCTGACCATGGGAAAAACACGCCGTACACAAATGTAACCATACTATTTATAAGGTTTGACCCAGTGATTTAATGATTGTCGTTGTAAATGATATTTGTTATGGGAATTGTAACCGTTTAAAATTTAATGGTAGGCTGTGTAGTGTTGAATGTATGTTGGTATGATCCTAGTCGCTCCCGTGGCTTCTCCTGACAAAATTGTGGGTTTTAAAATATCTCTCCGTAGCTGGATGACTCGCAATTCCCATCCATTTCATAATCTAGCCTATTGAAAATCCACTGCTAAACGTAAGCCACCCCACTGAATGTCTTAAAGGGGCGATATTTGCTGTGGCATCCACCACAGAAATCTAAATAATGTTATTTAGATTTCTATGAGTTTTTATTTCTTTTAATTTTTGTAAGGACAACGCTGCTGCATATCTCATGGTTAGTTTCTCTCCGTCGCTTCTTACAACACCCACGGGACGATATGATATGAGTGGATATTCGCTACCCTGTTGGGTCAGGTCCGAGTTACACATAAATTAGACTTCAATTTTTAATTTCAGATCCGGATAGCTCCGAGGAATGTAAAAAGTCCACGGTGTAGATTTAAGCATCATCTGATAATTTTTCATCAGATGAATTAATTTTGATTTATTTTTTAAGGAATTTGATTAGATATTTTTATGAAAATTTTAAAAGGAAATTCAACCGAACCTTTTATAATGTAACCTACATTAATAATAGTCTCCATTTTAATCCAATGGTTATCACTATTACGCGGGTGTGGTTATAACTTCAGCTCGCAAATATATTTTTGTTCTCCGATACTTTATATTGTAGTTACTTCATCATCATTACGCCTCCAAAACTATTTTGAAAACACATATTTTTTGCTCAATATACATTTAGTTTTTTAAGTTGTGAATCAAGCTTTGGAACTAATTACTTATGTCGATTAAATGTGCTCAACCCTTAGGTCTGTTCAAGAAATATGTTAAGAATCATTATTGGTATCTCTAACCTCCCTCTCATTTTATTATATTCATAATTCATCACCAAAAGTCTGTTGTAATTTTAGTTACTAAGCATATGTTGTCAACATTCTACCAATTACATAGCATATTACCAGGAACATGATCAAAATGCTTTCATTTGATTGGTTTAAATAATATTTCTTCATTACATTTATGGCACATTACTTTAAATATATTATAAGTGTCAATGTTCTTTTGTAATTAATTTAAAAAATACGACTGGTTTTCGATGTTCACGTCTTATTATCATAGACTAGTAGACTAGAAGATAGTGCACCCCTCCCGTTTATCTTTGTCCGTCTTTAATTATTTTTGTGAGTTAGACGAGATAACTTTTCCTTGATATACCTATAAGAAAGAGTCTAAATTCTAAGAGAGGTATTAAGTTTTCATATATAGTATAGGTTTTAGTACTGTTAGAGTACAGTGTTAAAGAGACCGGCAAGACGTGTAGGATTCACTTCCTGTGAGTTTCTGTGGGGTTCAGTTTTTTCTTTAGAAATACGGAAACCTAAAGACAGTAAGCAGGTCACTGCTTTAGGCAGACCTCCGTAGGTGGTAAAAATAAGAATTTGCCATAATCACCAAGCACAGCTAGTGCATTGATGATCGCGATACTTGAGCAACTTTGATCCTACTTCACGTCAAGATTCTTTTGTTCCATTTTTTCTGGTATAATTATAATACAATAGGTACAGCATATATTACATATACTATGCGCATTTATTTTGTACCGCCGTTGGTTAGATGCCTCAAGATCTTCTTTGAGATTCCCTCAATGACATCTTTCGACAACAGCGAATTGTTATATGATATCGACGGTTCTTATGATCTCAAAGCAAATTTAGCTAGTTGTAATAGTTTCTTTTTATTACTGTAATCTAGCACAAGCCCAATACTGAGCAAAGGTCTACCTTATAGATTGCCAAAATCACGATCCCACCACCACATGTACAACCCTAACAACTAAGAGTAACTGATGTAGCCCAGTGTATCAGTAGGCAGGAATGGCAATGGGCCGGTCATATATTTCGTAAAACCGACTATCAATGGGGATGAAAGTTTCTCGACTGGCAAGTGCAGTATTATGTGACCAACCACTAGATGGAGTGAAACCTTGATGGAAATTTACGGTTAAACTGCACAAAATATTTTTTTTTGTTAAAACTGATACTTTTTTTAAATTTTGCATTAAATGGCGAAAACCCACCACATTGCAACAAAGCACGATCCTGAGCCACCATTTCAAGCATATAATACATTAAATGCTTTTTATATTTTAAGTAGACACATCCATTTCCTTACTAAAATGATGATGTAGTTGTAAAAAGACATGAGTAGGTGCACCGGTTGCTTGTTTATTTGGGTCTCGTATTTAATTATAACAGGATTTGTTGCGTTCATCAGACGTTATATCGCATCAGTGTACAAAAAGCTTTATGCACTGGAGTTCAGATGTTTGCTCGAGTCAGCTCCAGTTATTGCATCGAGTGTCCACTGACGCAGCCGCATTGACATTTTAAAAGGATCGTTTCCGGAAACTTAATATTGGAAAGATCACGCTGCCAAGACGTTCTTACAGAACACGATTTAATAAAGTCTAGAATAAAGAATAAATATTCGTACCGTTAGTATAGACAGGCGAGCCATTTTCTGGACTGAATTGCCCCTATCTCATCATTCCAGATAATAACTTCTGTGGCTATAAGGGAAAGGGGAGTACCTCATTTACCGCCTGCATAATAGTGTTCCCCGGGGTCGGCTCATTAATTCACTCCGCTACAGTCATACGTACAATCGGAGAAGTTCTATATATAAAACTTCTATGATTCCTCGTAATGTTGACTGCGTGATTCATTTTAATCTTCGTCTTGTCTTTCGTTGTGCTATTCTGTACACCCCTTCCGCTAACTTTTAAAATTATGTAAGGGAAAGATCGCTGTTAGGATAAGGCCGTACCTCATTTAACTACTACATAATGTAATATGCCTTGGTGTACATAAAGTATTTTTACTTTTACTTTACATTAATTTACTTCGCTCTAATTAGCGATCAATAAGCAAAAACGTTTCGTTACGTATATATATATATATATATATATAAAAAAAAAATATATATGCGCAATGCTGATGTTATATATATAGATAACATCAGCAGATGTAGCAGTTGTTTGGCTTCCCTAGGAAATCCCGATTGATTGATATGTTTAATCAGCAACACTTCGTACTCTTCAAAATCTCAGGGCCGCAAAGTGTGTCACTGTATTGATTGTTTTACTTACGTGCTCAAACTTTAGTGAAGATTTAATTAACCAGGCAGGAAATCGATGTATACAGGAAGTGAGCTATTTGCTTGTATTTGATACTTTGTTGAAATATTTGGAAAAGACCTATGTTTAGCAGTATTGTGTTACACAAACTACTATGGGTTGTTTGTTACTATGATTTTTCGGGCATATTCGCGTTTTACGCCACCCCCATAGGACGAAATGGGATGATCGATACTCTTACTTTGTCCGGAAGTAATCGGCGCATGAGTACCGTAAACTATTACGCCTCAATATTTTTATTCGATTCTCTTCAAATTATCCTACTGATGATATAAATGCATTTTCCTGGACTAACCACCATACGGCAACTTGCTAGAATATTTTATGACAAAAAAAATACATAAATCACATCCGACTTAATGTTTATCACAAGGATATAAATAAGAGGTTAATATTAATGAATTTAATTTGATGATTAGAATTTAGAAACCGTTTTAAAATTGTTTATTGCAATATGGTTTTGAGAGACTCCACTTTAAATCTCAATAATTATTGTAGATTTTGAGGTAATTCGTATTAAAATTTTATAATTAAATTCAAGTCCTTGAATAAACAAAATTATCAAAGTTAATCTTTTCTTAATAATAATTTTGTCTAATTATACA